TTTAGTGAGCTAATACACTTTCTACACAAGGTAAAGCTGGACAAAGTCCTTTAGGGTTAATGAGATTGAAATATACATTAATAATAATAAGTATAGTAATATATGTGTACATATAGTTATGTATATTAGAAGAGTAGAGTTTGGAAAAAAAAAAAGAAAACAAAAAAAGATAAAATTTCGAGTAATTGAAATTCGTATTGGTGATTTTTATTGCAAAAGACTGTTCATTAAATGATTGTATTGCATTTGTATGGCTGTGATTCGCACCCTTGTAGTGCTTACTAAAGTACAATTCGAGTACAAATTATTAAAAAAAAAAAAAAATAAAAAATATATAAATAATTTAAATTATAAGAATAATATTAATTAAGAATGGAGTCAATGTATTCTTTTTTAAAAAAAAAAGAAGTAGATTACAAATTTTTTTTTGGGTGTAATCCCAAATTTCTGAAGTGCCTAAATTGCTTTGTGAGGTCAGTTTAAGTTACTTAGAGTTAGTTGATTATCTTACGTTTTGACTTCTAATTTTGTCACTGTGTAATTCTTTGCGTCTTAGTTTTTCTGTTTCAAGTTGTAAGCCACCACTCTTGGTCTTCGTGGGATCTTCCCTTCGCTGGACCTGCCTGTGTGGATATACGCTTACGACAATGACGAATTAGAACTTGCTAAAGTTTGTTGGACAACCTGGCCCCTGAGGTTAATAAGATACCTGGCCAACGTTTTAATGTCTGACGACATTGCTAATTAAAAAAAAAAAAAAAAGAAATTTCTTTACTAGTTCTTGTCAACCGCCTCATATGTTTTTCTTTACAGATTTCTAAAAGAATCGTAACAAATTTCCGACACTCTTAAAGATTTCGGGAGCATTTGTTTGCAGGGTATATATATACGTATATGTGTATGTGTACGCGGATATGTAAATATAGCAAAACAGACGATAATTTGACACAAGCGTGCTCATAAGAAGAAGCATAGCTTCTATCGCTATCACCTATAATTGATGCGCCTTGCGCAAAATGCAACCATTCGTTACGAATGTCAACTAAACAGAAGAAAAACACGTTAAACAAATGAAATTGCAGGCGGCCGGTAGAATTTCTTAGCAACGAAAAAACAATTCCGATTTGTAGAAATTTTCTGGCACAATTTTAAAATAAATCGCTCGCTGGAAAAATATTTGTGAAAAATGGCAGATGGCGATAAGATTGAAGTGCGTGATATAACACGTATTGAACGCATTGGCGCGCACTCGCATATACGCGGTCTGGGTCTGGACGATGTGCTGGAAGCGCGTGCTGTATCACAAGGCATGGTGGGTCAGAAGGATGCTCGCCGCGCTGCCGGTGTTGTAGTGCAAATGGTGCGTGAAGGTAAAATCGCTGGACGTTGCATATTGCTCGCTGGTGAGCCAAGTACTGGTAAGACAGCAATTGCAGTAGGTATGGCACAAGCGCTCGGAACAGAGACACCATTCACCAGCATGTCTGGTTCGGAAATATACTCGCTGGAGATGAGCAAAACAGAAGCACTCTCGCAGGCGCTGCGCAAGAGCATTGGTGTGCGCATTAAAGAGGAGACTGAGATTATTGAGGGTGAGGTAGTTGAAATCCAAATTGATCGGCCAGCAACTGGCACGGGTCAAAAGATTGGAAAGGTATGTTTGTGTTTGCTATGATGTTCGTTTGGTTGGTTTACATTTTTCCTATTATAGGTTACTTTGAAAACCACAGAAATGGAGACAAACTACGATTTGGGCAATAAGATTATCGAATGTTTTATGAAGGAGAAAATTCAAGCAGGCGATGTTATAACAATCGATAAAGCTTCGGGCAAGGTAACCAAATTGGGTCGTAGTTTTACACGAGCACGCGATTATGATGCCACCGGGGCACAAACGCGCTTCGTACAGTGCCCTGAAGGTGAACTACAGAAGCGCAAGGAAGTCGTGCATACCGTGACTCTACATGAGATCGATGTCATCAACAGTCGTACACATGGCTTCCTCGCACTATTCTCAGGTGACACAGGAGAAATCAAGCAAGAAATACGCGATCAAATAAACAATAAAGTGCTCGAGTGGCGGGAAGAGGGCAAAGCTGAAATAAATCCAGGTGTACTCTTCATCGATGAAGTACACATGCTGGATATCGAGTGCTTCTCCTATCTCAATCGTGCGCTCGAATCCGACATGGCACCCGTAGTTGTGATGGCCACCAATCGCGGTATCACGCGCATACGCGGCACCAACTATCGCAGCCCACATGGCATACCGATCGATTTATTAGATCGTATGATTATCATACGTACAGTACCCTATTCGGAGAAGGAAGTTAAAGAAATATTAAAAATTCGTTGCGAAGAAGAAGATTGTCTCATGCATCCGGATGCGTTGACCATTTTAACGCGCATTGCCACTGACACTAGTCTACGTTATGCGATACAATTGATTACCACAGCGAATTTAGTGTGCCGACGACGCAAAGCCACAGAGGTAACCACTGAGGACGTGAAGAAAGTTTACTCATTGTTCTTGGATGAGAATCGCTCGAGTCAAATATTGAAGGAGTATCAAGATGAATATATGTTTAATGAGATACAGGATACTAACGAGTGTGAAGTTGTGACAAAACGAGAAGACGCTGTTGGTGGTGATGATCAACCAATGGAACACTAAATTATAGTGAGAGAAAGATGGGAATTTTAATGAAGTCTACTTGCATACATTCGAGCACACTTCAACTTTGAGTTAAATTTAAAAAAAGCACTGCATTGTTTTATGATAATAAAAATATGTAGTCTAGAAAGGCTTTCAATAGATGGTTTGGTTAGGGGCTATGACTGTTATGAAGGCACATAACAACAGTGAAATTTCACGCCTATCAATTTCCCCAAGTCAAATAAGTAAGTAATACAATTTTTTGGTGTATTAGAAGAAAATTGACTTATTTATTTTACAAATTGATCCAATGTTAATCCCATTTTTATCTTAAAAAACAGTTCACAGTTTGGTGCATTCATACATTTCATATGTTTGTATGTAAGTACGAGTATTATGTGATCGGAAAGTAATAAACAGTTCAGATATATTTCTTAGTTGGTTAATTGAAGTCAACGATTGTAAATATTGTATATTTTACTATGCTTCTCCACTGACGTTCAACAACTACACTAATTGCTTAATTAAAGAGTTTGGTTGCATTGAAACTTTTAATAATTATTATTCGAATACATGGTTTTTTTATTCAGAAAATTAAGTATTTAACTTATGCAAGAAAACGTCTATTTTCGTCAGCTAAAAAATATATTTATGTATAAACTATTAGGCGTGCCTGAGATTTGTATAATATAAAATAATTCAATGTGTTATAATAGACTTTTACTGACTAGAAGGATGTGCCACTGTCAAATACAAAAAAATACTATTCTTTAAAATTATACAGCTTTTCTGACAATTATATCGGAAAAAATTTCCTCAAGTTTAAAATATTGCTAGTAAAAAGCTTCTTGCATTTTGGTGAAAACCACTTACTGGAAATTAAACCAGCTGATTTTTTAATACTTAAGTTAACAGAACCAAGGTAGGCAGCCAATGCGCTTATATAAAAAAAACAAAATTAATATTGAGCACAGTATAATATTTAGAAGCTTATAAAAATATGTGTGTCTCACTTTTTCGAATTTCACTTTTGTCAACAGCCTTTTATCTTTACAGAATTTATGTGGGCTATCACAAAATCCATCGTAGTTAGATATTTCGTAAAATCTACGAGATGCGATGTCGGATCCGAATTGCTACGGCATGATGGCATTTTCGTAGATTTCACGAAAAATCGGAATGCGATGGATTCTGTGATATCCCTGTAAATAATATGCTTGCAGTAACAATTACAGCACAATTTCAATGCCTCACCTATTCATAAGTACATTTACTAATCTCTCTTGGCATCATTTGTCTCCGCCACTGTGGGCGAGAGTGTTGTTGCACGGCCAAAAGTATTATCCTGTTCACGTCTCTTAGCTGTTCGCTCAAAATATTTAAATGCTTGATAGAAAATCGTCCAACCTATAACAGCCACGAAAACAAAATAATTGACTGATCCATATGCCTTGATCCAACGCGGATAACTGAGCAGAATAAATGGTGTCATACACCAGCCGATATAGAAGAGATCGTACAATTTTTGGACACAGTATTTCAGAGCGGGATAGACAAATGGCGGACTAACGATGTCAGCATACACATCGATTTTGCTCTTAGCCCAAACGCTGGCAAACTGCAACAATGAATATAGAAAATCAATCAACATATGAAATACGCATGTATTAAAATGCTCTTATACTCACTTGCTTCTCCACTGTCACAGTCATGTACTCATTGAGGAATGCCATGTAATAGCCGCTGTGGAAACCGTGCCATACGGCCAAGAAACCCAAAGCAGCAGCATAGCTGATCGTGCGGTTGTTTAGAAACTTCAAACGCTTATAAACATATTGTCCAACCCATTGATTTGTGTTCACGTTAAATGAGTGCACATAATGCTGCATAGAATAGCCAGTTTCTAATATGAAGAGGTTTACGTTCGAGCAGCCGGACCAATCGTTTTCGCCATTCTCCTTCTTGCCCTTATACGAGATGCCTAAACGCAATAAAATGTATTACTGTAATGGGAAATCTTTTTAAAGTAACGTTACTCACCCAAAATCATGAGCGCACCCTCTGTCAGCAGCCAGCAAGCCACATACTTGCACAATGACAATTTTGCCCACACACCCAAATAGACTAAACGCCAAAAGAATGGCACTTTCGCATACTCATCCGAAATGAAGTAGGAATCGGGGAAATATGACGCACCCACCTGCCTAACAATTAAGTACGCAAGTCCAACTGACATTCGCTTGAGGCCAGCCTCGTTGCCACCTTCAAATTGCCTAAATTCGCCCTCAATGAAACGCTGATAACGGCGATATGCAAATTGTGGACCAATTAGAAACGCACAAGGAAAATAAGCGAACGCAAATAGCTCAATCACCGAGGGTATTGAGGCAATAGCATTTTCCTGCTGCTCTTTCGAAAGCTGTTCACGCTTTTTCAGCCCATCAGTAATGTCAAAACTGAAGCCGATCAAACGTAGTACCAACACGCAATGTGGCATTGTCCAAAGAATATCATATTCATTGCTTTCGGTGAAGTAATAGCCCACGAGCAGATAAGACATGTGAAAGACGAAATTGATAATAATAAGCTCGCGCGGTGATGAACGGAAAAACCGTGCCAGCACATACGTGGTGGCTATAGCAATTAGAGAATGAGAGGTATCACGTCCGAAATTAAACAGGCACAGCAGCAAGCCCCACACCAAAAAATATAAGTGATGCAACAGTTTGTTGGGTTGGTGAATGAGCACCTTCCGGTATACGTAAGCAATTCCATAGCCTGGAAAATAGTAGAATATAGGAAGTTTTTTATTTTATTAAGTTAATATTTTTGTGTACAAGAACATTACCTGTAAAAATTGATAACAGTAAACGCAACGCAGCTTCCGTGGCACCAAATGTATGCGCTAACTTGCCAATCAACCCCAGCGCTGGGGCGTCACCAGCCTCCAAAGTCGACATGTTTTAATATTAAAGTACAAATCACACTACAATTACAAAACACAACGAAGATGTTGTAAAACAATTGTGGAGAGAAAATTAAACAAAGTCATAAGCCATTAACTACATAGTTTATCACTTTATTTAATGCTAAATGAGCGTTTGTATGAAACGCAAAAAAAAATGAATCACTTTTAACACCGTAGAGTATGTCTGTATGTATGTATGTATATTAATAAGCGCATAAAACTAGTGCAGTTGTATGTAAATTATATGTATATATCTGAGTTAACAAATAGCAGCGTGACATAGAAACGCGATTGCGTTAGTTTAAAAAAGCGTTTAATATTAAATACTAAAATAACTAAGCTATGTATTACCGCCACGTTCAGCAGGACAATGAAAAGAAAAAGTGCAAGATGGGGCATTGGCAAATTGCCACAAAGGCAAAATGCCAAGTAAAATCGACTAAGAAAGTCAATACGACATGGATGTGCTTCAACTTATCAAATTTAAAATTAAGCAAAGCCATCGACAACGACAACAAAACCGACCCTATTGAGGCTGCACGCTTCTTAGGGCTGCCGTTAGTGGAACTTGACGGCAACGACTGAGATATTAACCGATCTGGGTGAGGTTGTAGTAGCCTCTACAACAACAAAAACGTAGGGCCACAGCAACAGCCATCAAGTGGGGTGGACTACCACATACAGTAGGCAAGGCTGACATATAACGTTTTCACTGATAAGGTGATTGTTTAGCAACTATGTTGTTTATATACATATGTACAAACAAACATATGTATGTAAGAACGTTGTTTATTTTTTTTATGACTTTGATAAGCCAAATTATAATTGTAGCTTTTAGCGTAATTTTTTATTAAACTTATCAAAAGAATGACGAGCATTATTTGCAGATAATAGAAGTCAGGGTTGAAAAACAATTGCGTGAATTCGAATTAATAGGCTAAAAATAGATTTGACAAATTAGCGGTTAATCAAGGTAATACACAATCGAATAAGTAATATGCGAAGCAAATATTTAGTTACTCTTGTAGATATAAATACGAAAGCTTGTTATTATTAGTTAAAAAGCTTGACATTAAAACAACAAATAAGTTATGCGTATTCTTAAAATTTTTTATAGCACCAGTGGCTTTAGGCACTACGTATTGATTATTCAAATCAAATGCATATTACTATTCATATATGTATGTATGTATGTATGTATATAACAATATTATAAATTTTTTAAGTTATTGCTTACCTTGACTTTGTTATGATTTTGGTCACCGTCCTCGCACCAAAGCGATACCAATTTGCGTTTCACTCCACCAGCTAGATAGGTTTGTATGAACGTGATTTTGTTTGCGTATTAATATATTATTTAAAAGCTTTGAGCTGTTATCTACGCCTTTTACACTCGACTATTACAGCAATCAGAAAATTTTTATTTTTATTATACACTATTTCAATTTAATATTGATTTTTAGCATTTTTTGCAGCCAAAATTTAAAAACCCAAATTCATGATTATCTAAAAACGAATACTGAAAAAACAACGAATCCTATCAAATGCAAAACAACAACAGCTTTCGCGCATGACACCTGTCAGTGCAGTTATTTGTTTACTTCATTGTGAATGGTTTTTTTCTTTCAAGTGTTGGCAAACGATATGTGATTTCTTTAATTAAAATGGGTTTATTGCAGGCCGTCTTCATGTGCTGGAAAATCTCGCTTGCCTATACTTTCACAAGCTACAAAGGTTTTTTTTTATATTACAGATTTAATACTTTTAAGTTAACGGCTTCTTCCAAGGCGAATCTATACAAGGTGGTGTTATCGGATCCGCTGATTTCAATGCGAATTTGTACTTTTTGTCAAAATGATGTTTGTTGTAATTTTGTTCTGTACTGATTGTCAATGTGTGTATAATTTGTCATTGTTTTTTTTTTATTAATACCGTTGTATAAATTAGCCTTGGCTTCTTGTGTCAAATTGAAAATTTTCTCTGCAGTTCCACACACTTTTAAGTAAAAATTTTACTAGCAGAAATTAGGTTCATTCCTTATCTTTTTGGACTAAAATCTGAAAAGTGTCAAAATGCCAGAGCGTAAGCAAAATGCGCTCACTAAAAGAGAGTAACAGGAAAAGTAAAGGAACGCAAAAAACCAAATTTTTAGTCCAAAGAATGGCAACAACAAAACTAACGTCAAATAAGAACAGAAATGTATGTACAAAACACATTCACACAAGCACAAGCACAATAAACACTTGCTATATCAATTATTTTTTGCCTCCTTCCAATTTCAATTCATTTCTTTTACTTTTTAGATTATTCTCACTTTTAGCGTATTCTTTAATTTCCGTTAATTTAAATTCAGTTGAGTTTGACACTTTTCAGGATTTTGCCAGAAAAAATTCTTCTGACTAAATCTGACTACTTCGGACTGATGAGAGTCACTCTCACCGACTGTTGCTCTCTCATTTTTGCTGTCATTTCCGAGTTAAGGAACGCTTTTTGGACTAAATCTGACTACTTCGGACTTTTTCTGACTATTTCTGGGAGATAAGGAACGCGCATATTAGCAGGAGAGCCAAAAAAGAAGAGCGTAAGAAGAAGAAAGATGCTAGTTTCTGCTATTTTTTTGGGTTAAGAAACGCTTTCCAGCAGAATTTAGTAAGTGCTCATTTACACACGGCGATTTTTTTTGCCGCAACTCGAAGTTTGTAGGAGAGAGCGTGACGAGGAAAGGAGAGGGGCACCAATTTGCTCGTGCTCGGGCGGCACGCTTTGTGCTCTCGTTCGACTGTGTAAATTGAGTTAGCAGTTCACAGCTGACAACAACAATTGCATACACAAAAATCGTCGTGTGTAAATGAAATGAGCAACATCAAAGGGATTGTGAAAAATCGCGTCGACAAAAGTTTCCATGTATAAACGCAGTCTAATAATTTGTGATAAGTTTTTGTTAAGAAACAAAGCTAAAATCTGCTACTAAATCTATTGTGAACTCATGATCCAGAGAAAACAGAGAACATCAATTATATGCTAAAAATTGGTAAATTAGCGGAAGATATTGCAAATAATTAACAAAATAAAACACAATGAATGTGTATTCCAACGCAAAGTAAGCGTGAGACAACTAAATACAGCGAATAGAAATAGGCAAAGAAAAACCAGGTTAAATACTATAAAAACAAAGGCAGGTCAACTTCGCAAGTTGAACCCACTGCCCACTTAACTGACGTGTCAACAGGAAACTATTACAACAGCAAACCACCCCTTGCCATTTCAAAAAACTTGACATTTCCACACCATTCCCCAGCTTAAATCTGGCGCATTCCAGCAACAGCATGCGACGTAACAACTATCCCTACCAGCCACTTAACCAAACGTCAGGGCACAGTGCGCTGGCACCCGATGCGCTAGAGGAAGAGAATGAACGCGCGGCAGAAGAACTAAAACACAAGATCGGCGCACTCAAATCACTCACCATTGATATTGGAAACGAAGTGCGCTACCAGGACAAATTATTGCGTGGTATTGATGATGATATGGATCGAACGGGTGGCTTTTTGGGCAACACAATGGCGCGAGTGGTACGATTGGGGAAGCATAGTGGCGGCCGTCATATGTGCTACATGTTTCTCTTTATATTATTTGTATTTTTGATACTGTATGTTGTTATAAAAATCAAGTGAATATAGCGCTGTTTATGGAGGCAAAGTTGAGAATTTTAGTCAAGTATATTGGAGCTTGAAAACAAAAGTAAAAGTCATGAATGCGACCACTTAAAGTGAGCTGCCCAAAAGAGATCGTCATATAAATAGAATAAACTATTTTTGTAAACATAAAAAATATATATTTGTGATTTTTTTAATTGTAAATAAAATCTAAAAGAAGATAGCCTACAAACTAGTTATACATATTGTAAAAGAAGTTCCATTCAATCATCATTACACTGTACGAGTACTTAGCTTAATTGATTCGTCTCTCATAAGTGAGGATAGTTTTGTTTTTGTAAATATAAAAAAGGGTGGGCCACCTACAAAATATTTTTTTTGGACGCCATTTGCGCTATATATTTCACGGTCGTAGTGCACGCGTGAACTGAGAGTCTGTCAAGTTCTATGCTTGATAGGAAGTTTTCATCTTTTTGCTGCGTCGACTGAAATCTTGGTCATCACCATCAGAGCTATCAGCTGCCGTGGCTTGATACTCCTGATTCAGTTGCTGATATTCGTTGGGATCTATCACATAGCCTTTCTTCGCCTCTTCAAGCATGCGAACTGAAAGCCAAACATTTACTTTTTGGTAGGTGATCTCCATGATTCAACAATCATGAATTTATTATTGAATCATGGGTGATCTCTGAGAAGCTTATAATCTGATGTAATCTAATATGTTTCAATATATATTTCTTTCTTACTTTGGGCTTCCAATATTGCATTTTGCTTTTTTATATCCTCCACATCCTTTTGATTAGCTTGTATTTTTCGTCTCATTACTTGTATGCATTCCGTTGTCTTCTTCAGTATTTGTGCACGGCTAGCCTGTGGAAAATTGCACCGAAAATTTTCTAATTGCCCATTATTACTGGCAAATTACTGCAATTGATACATACCTTTTCACCCTTAAGTGTTGGCACAGCTTCGCGTAGACTGGTAAAACTTTCCTTTATATGATCACGTCTTTTACGCTCCAAAGCATTGTGATGTGCACGCTTTTCGGCCTGAAAATATACAAATGCTCATACATGTAGTTACTTCTCGTGATTTTTTTTTTATCTATCCTCTATACATTGCAAAATCAAGTCCCACTGGTGGGATGCGAGTAGGTCGATAAACCGCAAAAACACCACTCACTCTCTGCTGCCGTTGCCCACCCTTATCATATACATTCAACAGCACGCGCACGCCAACACAAAGTGTTACATAGCGACAGACACTCACCTGCGTGAAATTTTGTGTGCTTGCATGCCTTGAAGATTGCGCACCATTGTCTGAATCATTATCGTCCTATGATTAAGAAAATAAACAAATTAGTTATTGCACTAAATAATAGAATTAAATTGTTTGTTTTGCTCCGCAATAGTTGTTGCTAGTTTTATTTTTGATGCCGATGCTTCCTTACATCACTTTCAATGTCAATATCCCTTTCCTCATCGCTCATTTTCGTTTCTGCGTGCTCAAATTTCGGTAATTTTTATAAATATTTTCACTTTATAGCTTTTCCCACTGATTTCAATAAAATATTTTCTATATTTTTCAAGAAATATTCAATTTGCCTACGCAATTCTTATTTGGACTCCAAATTTTACACGCAAAAGCAAAAAAAGCACACATACACACAGGAAAACGTGCGAGTCAGAACATGGAGACAATGAATGATGTGATAATGAAGGCGGAATGCAGAACTAAGAAAATTCGGGCTGCCACTTGGAACGAAGTGAATTAGTAGGGTGGTCAACGAAAAA